AACTGTATGTGAGGGGAGAAGATCATCTGCACACATTTTCTTGAGTTCCGGAATCCTTTCTCATCATTTTAATTATAAATAGTTGAAATATGAGAAAAAGTTAAATATAAATAAATAAAAGTAAAATTTACAAAATCATGAGATTAGCTACAATTGAAAAACTAGACATATTCGGATTTGAGCAAAAAAAGCGGCCATTTCAGCATTTGCTCAAATACAAATGTAAACTAATACATTATATATCACTGTATTTTTAATATGAACTTTTTTTCTTTTTTTATGATCAGTACAGTTTCTAATGGTATAGAAACAGTTATGCAGCACAAAAGATTTTACTTTTAACTTAAATTTGAGTATCGACTTCAATTGTTTAATGTCATCTTGCAATGCGTTGTAAAGTAACATGCTTGTATTGTATGTGGATTTCTGTTAGTGAGCTGTTGACACTGACACTTGATGAACGTGATTTCTTCGACGTGTGTTGTGATTATTAATATCAGTGTTGCAAGAAAATATGTTCCCACCATTAAGTAAGTCAGTTTTGACAAATATTACAGATTTGTTGTACATTAGCAGATTATGATACAATAGCAAGTACTAACTTACAATTAGAGTGAGTAATCCTAGTCTTTGATTAATTAACTTCAGTAACTTGAATAAATTAAATGTTAATAATAATAGCAAGTACTCAAAAGATGCTGACATAAAATAACATTTTTTACTACACATTAGTTTGAAGTGAATGAACTAGATAGGAATGGTCACTCTTGTAGTGGTATAAATGAAGAAGATCCTGAAGAAGGAATTCATGTGATCAAACCACAAATCATTCACCAGCCTCGCTGTGAAAAATTGTGGAAAATAACATTACTCTTCATTGGACATTACACTCACCCCAAAGACAGGATTGAACAGGAAATTTTGAAAGAACCAAAGAAAGACATGACATTGTTGTTTGGTCAGTTTATTCTTCATTCTTAAGCTCTGTGTAAAAACCTAATCAATATACCAATTACACGAGTGGAAACACATTTTGTTTTATAAAAAGTGGGGATTTTTGTCCCATGTTACCCTACATAGTTCTATTAAGAATAAAATTCCAACAAAGCAAGGTAAGTAGAATTTGAAAATTAAAAATGTTTACTCCCAATTAAAAGAAATCTTATCTGCATCAATAAATGCATGTAAACATTTCCAAAGTAGGAAACAGTTCAATGGAAGCAAGACAGATAAGCTTTTTTTTCACCATAGGAGGATACATACCAACATACCCATATATTATCTGAAATACCTATGCTTACGACTTCAGATTGGATCAAATTACAATTATAGATGTACTGTATAAAATGAGGTGCATTATTTTAACACAAAATTCATTCAGACTGCTTTCAGAAGACAATGATGCTATTTCACCTAGGAATGGCAGGGAACCAATTAAAAAATTTAAGAACTCTTTACATGTGTGTTGGAAATTATACTTGTTCATCAAAATTGCTTTCACTTGTAAATGTGATTTTTCTATTACCTAAATTTTTTGTCACATTTTGTTTTTGATGAGAGAGCCCTTGTTCAGGTGCATTTGAATCCATTTATGAAAGGGAGGAGGGAGTTAAATGACCAATGAAAGATATTAATTCCTGATATTATTGTGCTTAAGTGAACAATGAATTCTGTCCAGTTACCCAAGCTATTCCACAAATTTGTATTTATCGATATAACCCAACTTGTTAAACATGCATTTTCATCAAATATTTTAGTGTTTTTATTAATGTCAAAAGAACTGTTGCCTGGCTACGAATTCAACACTTTTCAATCTCAGATCATATAGGAACACATGTCAATGAGGCGTTTTGGAAAGTCTCTTGTCAGCAAATGTACAAAACATCTTACAGACTCTCTACCACCTCATGGAACAAAAGGTATCTTAAATTAACAGTCTATAAAGTATGACATTTTATCCTCCTTCCTTATCCACAAATTTCAGGGAGACAGTTAGTGCAAGAATTGTTCTCCCAAAAAGAAAACTTGAAAATTTAATCAAAACATCTGGAGCCATTTATGAGAAAATTTTGAAAATACTAAAGCTTCTTGTAACAGCGCCCAAAAAAAAAAATATTCATATCAAGTTTGCAGAACCTCTATTTCAGCCAAATCAATTGGGGAAACTCAATTTTGGAGAAATCTGCAGCACAGTTCAGACATTATATTTACCACAGGCACAGTTTAGGCATTCACATTTTTGCTGTAAACCAACTTACCAATATCAATAAAATTCGTCATTAAGATGAAACCAATAAATTACCGCTTTTATTTCCTAGCAATAATAAAATCATTTACATAAAGAACAGAAATATAATATTTTCATTTTTCATGATTTTAGATTTTTACTAAGAAAAATTTTTCTCAAATAAAATTGAAGCAACCAGTTTTAAGTTTTATCACAATTTTCCACAGATTTTCTGAAAAATGTAGTATCTTAAAGATTTTAGTTTTTATTCTTCTTTCATTTCTGAAACAAGTTTCTTGTGTACACTCAATATACATAATCCATGTCCCATAAGTCCTTCTACTGTTTTGTTGATCTCTGGCAGGTACTTAGATGTAAGAATGACCCTATTTACATTTCAAGGGGTACATGATAGAGCAAGAAAAATGTGACTTCAGAATTAATTATTGAGTAGCTTATTTTACAAATGTATAAAGTATACTTCATTATATACTTTTTAGACAGCCACTAATAAAAACAGTTCTTTCAAGGCAAGCACAGTGTGCTAAATTTCAATTTTCAGCGATAGTGTTAAAAGTGACATGATGCTCAACTGTTCAGATAAATCTGTCAATGCAACAAAGAAAACAAAAGTCTTTTGTCTGGTCACATCAATTATTAATGAATCATGAAGTGATTTGTATACTTGAATAAAAATAAAATGAAGTCATTAATGCTGTCTAAACAATAGAGTACGACATACATGATAAAAGTGATTTTTATTTGCTCATAGAATAGCACCAATCGGCCTTGAGTTGCAACCTTTCCTACTCTCCAAATAAAATGTCACTTTTACCACTCATATCATAAATAACTAATATATGAAAGTGTTTAGGAATTCCAAGCTTTAGAAGGGGGGGGGAAGTGGCTGTTCCCTCCCCTACATGTTCTTGGTAATGCCCATAAGAAGTAGTAGTAGTAGTAGTAGTAGTAGTAGTAGTAGTAGTAGTAGTAGTAGTAGTAGTAGTAGTAGCAGCACGGTACATCCAAATGAGGAAAAAATTACACAACTATAATGATGATTTTTAACTTTTAACAGATCTTAATATCTAGGAAGAGATACCATAAAATTATCATATTAAATCATGAAATAAGTGCAGAAAAGAGAAATCACTGTTGTAGAAATGCAGAACAAGAAGAAATGGATTAAATCGCCAACTGCAGATTTCTATTTTAAACAGGTGGCCCCATGGAACTTGGTGTTAATATTCATGATGTGTAATTCATGGGTGGCAATTTCTATTTGATGCAATGCTAGATAAAGGTATTTTCTGAAAATTGTCAAAATTGTAGTTTCAAGATCATATGAACCAATTTCTTCATTTCATAAGAAATGTACATTTTTACATTTGAATATTTAATCTATTGCATTGACATTGATTCTATATTCACAGAAAGAATACCTCATTGTACGTATTTAAATGTTTAATGTTTTCATATGCTTATAAATGAAACCAATAATAGATCCAGAAATCGTCAAGAGGGGTGTCTCTTCCTTAAATTTTTATATAAATAAAGAAAATTGTTAACAAGTGACAACAATTGAAATTGAAAGCAAAATAAAAGTAATTTAAGGCCTTTAGGTGAATACAGGTTTTGCATACCATTTGTTATTTCAATTTTTTTTAGATGACCAGAAGAATTAAATTACCTCTGTTGATTTCCTTCTTTCTGTACCCCCTCTCTATTTATGCCCATTCTGAATTTGCCACAGTAAGCCACTCATCCAACATTAGGGCACATGATTTTATTTCTTGTGGGTTTTTTAAGTTTTAGTTTGTTTTGAATTACTTTGTTTTACTCTGCTTTAAAGAATCATTAAACTTTTCTACATATGAGGGGCTTGGGATTAGATAAATGGTAAGCTACCTCAAGTTACTTTTAGAGGGAAAAAATTCTGTAGATCAGGTCAACATAAAAAGCATATCTATTGCATTAAAAGTTACAGCAAACATTACTGTATTGTATTACATTGTGCAGTCAATAACTTGCCAACCTCTAGCAAAAATGAGAAACAATCAATTTTTCTTGTTGACTGGCTAACTGTTGTCTAATCTCAAAAATATATTGCTGTAAAGGTGACAGAGGTGACAAAAACATATATACTTGTGTAAAGTACCTAATATTTCATTCTTACCCACAGAAAATATCACATACTACCTATGAGAAAAGTCCTTTTGAAAGTATGGGGGTTCGTCTTTAAATTGGTACCCCCTCACAACCACCTACTGCAGGGTAAAAGTAACTTTTTTAACATCAACATTTCATTTAACTGAAGATAATGCTCATTATTTTATTGTTGTATGTCATATTTTGTTTCATTTCATTTTAGGTCTCCCTTGGAAGGATTTTTAACCATCAAGTATAATGAACATTCAACTTTCCATCATCAATAGAAGATACTTATTAAAAGAAAATAGCCAAAATATGTAACCAAAAAATTAATAAATAAGATGAAATGTATATATACTTTTCAATGTTATCTTTATAGTATGTGTGTAATCCACAGCTCACAAGTTAAATAAAATTTTAAATAAATTTTTATTAGAGATAATGTTTTTAATTCAACATTTTTATAAGAAATTAGTATTAAATTTGAGATTTTCCTAGTTTGAAATAATTATGAAATTGCGACTTGAAATAAATTTTCATTAATCTCTATAAATTGTTTTTAATTTTGTTTATCATTCACCTTATCAACACTATTAATGTACTAAAGGTTTTTAAAACCATTCTAAAGAATATGATAAAAATACATTTTACATTTTAATAAAAACATTTCCTTCAATTTGTCCTATAATATAGATATGTATGATGAATTGGGAAGACAAAGCTTGTTCCAGAAGACATTAAGTCTAGCAATGCTATTGATCACAGGGTACCTCTATTATAAAAACATTATTTTCTTATATGTCTCACTTTCTCAGAAACTATTGGTAAGTTTATTTTCAAAATATTGCAATTCGTCACCAGAAATTGAGAGAGTAAAATTGTTGAAAAATAAATTAACAGCAAATGGACAGATTTTTAATTAAAAAATATATCAACTGTGTAATATCTTTGGGCTATTTACACTTTCTTTGCTATTTTCTGAAGTCAAAAAATAGTTTTCATTCATATTTTATATCTAGTTAGTGAAACTTTAACTAGAAGGTCAAATCGATATTTCTTATTGACATCAAATCAATATTGTAAAGCAAATAAAATAAATAAAAAAATACATTTTTAATAAATGTTGTTGTTCAATTCTTTTTAAACAGAACATCAATACTAAATAAGGATATTATTAAAATACAATCCTTAAAGTGGAGTCATTTACAAAAAACAATTCAAATCATGTTTCATTACAAATTCTTCAATAAATTCCTCAGAAAACCATCACCTGATCCCTTACCTCTCCAAATTCATGACACATTAACCAGAATATACTCATATACACTCAGTATATTAATTTAAACTTCCCTCTGAACCATTGAACTTCTTAAAGCACTGAAAATACACATCATTGATGGAATATCTCAAGCAAACACCAAATCCCATAATACACTAAGCAATTGCCCATAAAATACTAAATAAATAAAAAGACATCATTCACTTGTAATACTGATGTATAAAAATTACCACAAGAATCTAGATACTTATTAAATATATGCTGGATGTGCAATTGTGTTTCCAGATAAAACGAAATTGTGTAGATTACCTAAAATGTCTACAGTTTTCAACAGTAAAATTTTTGCCATTAGATCTGCCCTAGCAGAAATGCGAAAATCAAGTAACTCAAACTTTTCTATACTTACTGACTCACATAGCGCCATTGAAACCATAATAAATAAAAATTATAAGGAACCATCTGCCTGGACATTATTTCAATTATTAACTCACAAATTATTTTATCTCAAAAAACTATAACTAATGAGTGGATCCATTCCCTTGTCAAAATTCCGGTAATGAAACAGCTGGGAGAACAGCAAATGCAGAAACTTTTCTTCTAAATGAATAAAATCTCACAACATGCCATAATGATATAATCAACATTTTTAAACATAAAAGTAAAGAAAACAGAATGGTTAACAAAAACGCAGATGAACTTTTTTAAATTAGAGAATATTTTATAATAACCAACTTGAAGAACTAATAGAAGATGTGAATCTATCATTACACAACTGAGAATTGGTCACCGCAGACTGACCCAGGAAAATACAATTAACTAACCTCCCAGAATTTCTCATACACCATTCATCAGATAGTACTGGAAAGTTCAAACAACTCACAAGAGAAGAAAAAAATAAAAAATGAAGGTATGAAAAAACCTTCACTCACACAAAATTCTTAAAAATATTATATTATAACTAAAAGAATCAAACATATACAATATGATTTAATATTAATATGTGTGCACTGTAATTTAAATTAATAAAATATTTTAAATGTTGTGTGTCACTAATAAACACATGGATTGATGTGACTTCATTTCTTTATTTTTATTTTTTAAAAACACTTACCAATTTATATCAAGCAGATGAAAGGTTAATAAAAATTCTTTTGAAAGTAAACAAGCTGCAGCCTTTTCATTCTTCACTGAAACATTTATTTTTTGCTAAAAGAAAGTATGAAACTAATTGAAGCTATCTTTTCAATTTAAGCCAGAATGAATATATTATACCTGTTTTTGTTGTTTATGAGACTGTGATCCAACCAGTTGTCTTGGAATAATATGAAAGTTTGGTTTGTGTAATTTCCTGCAACAGACATTTTTTTAAAGGAATAATTCCATTATATTTTTACACTTTTCATTTAATTAACAGATGTGAGGGGCTTATTACTTTATTTACAAAGTGTTCTTGGAAGTCTAAACAAGAATATGTACCTGTCCTCCCCAATATCTTCTTTCATGATTTTTTTTGCAATAATATCTTGACAAATTTTTTATGGCTGCTCTTCTCATTAACGACCTTGGTCTGAAACAGAATTATTAAATGAAGCACTGTGTTAAAATTTTTTTAAATTGAATATTCTTAATATTATGTCATTAGATCTCAAAGAAATATTGTTATAATCATTATAAGCGGGGGGGATGAAGAAATTAGGGGTCTTCATGGGCCTCTACTTCCTAAACAAACGTATTTTTGAAATAAGTTGTTAAAGCAAATAAAAAGGATGCAAATTGACTGTGAAACTTTTTAGCTATAGGTTCTGCTGTAGTGAATAATGTTCAAAAACATTTGTTGCCGTAGCAACAATATCTCAAAACTTGTCCGTTAAATATTTCAGCCATCGCTCTCAATTAAACATTTTCACAAAATGCAAAATTGTTTAAAAACTGTTGTTGAACACAGAGAGTTACAATGCACTAACATCTAAATTATCTAATTGGCACCTTTCCTTTCACCTTATTGGATGCAATTACGCTCAGAAATATGTTGTACAATTGTAATGAAATCTGAGTAGGGATAATGTAACTAACAAGTTTAATTTTTTCTAAATTATCTCTCATTCACATATTATGTTGAAATGTAACTAAATATAGAAAAGACCTCACTTATAGAACAACTCCATACCATTTTCAGAACTATCTGTAAACAAATATTGCCTAGCCGGAAGTAGGATCAGCTGACTTGTTCAATTTTTGTAATTAAAAATAATAAATTTATATTTCACAATTAAAAGTTTAGAATTATAAAACAAAAATATCCTTTTGTTTTTGAAAATCAATAAAAATGTTCTCTATGAAAAAAGGACCTCTTTAACAGATAAAGAAAATGTATGTAGTTTGTGTTGAATGTGATTGTGTTGTCTCTAATGTGGGACAGCCAAAGCATGCACTCAAAGATCAAAAGTGGATGTTAATAACATAAAGGAGATTGGCACAAAATTCAACTCAATTTCTCTACCATGCCATAATTTTGCTATTCTTTTAATTTTGACAGCCCTATCATTTTGAATAATAAACCAGAAAATATTCTAGATAAATTTCAGAAACACTATGTATAAAAACACACAAGACAATTAATTCCAGGTTAGAATCTAATTCTTTCACTAACATTTGTGACAATATTCTTTCTAAAATAAAAATATTTTATATGTTCCATTAGCTTTTGCATTTTTATTGATGTACTTATGTTTAGTTCTATTCCTCCCCCTTACACCTCTGATTACTTTCTTACTTGCTGTCATTGATGTACATTCAAAATAACGTCTATTTTATACGTCAGTTTGTTCCCTCTCTGCCCATACTTGCTTCTCTCTCCATACAGTGAGGAAGTATGTTTTTATGTTGGGCTTTTTTCCCATTTTTGACATAGGAATTATCCTTTTTTTAAAAACATTGTTTATCAAATTTTATAATTATATAATACGTGCAAATTTAAACATATTTTAGTAAGTTCTTGCTCATGAATTTTATATTTTGTACTTACTACTTATATATTTTTGCACGTATACTTGAGGGATATAGAGCTCGAGGGATACAAGTGCAATTTGGGCAAATTTTGATTGAGGAGAAGGGGTATAAAGTGAAAGCTCTGAAACCAAGTCTCAGACTTAGCAGATATTTCATGAATCAACAGAAACGTGTGAATGTAAACAACGTGGACAGATTTGTAAACGCTATCACATAGAACTATGCAGTAAAAGATTACTATGAATTAGAAACTGTGCAAATCAATAATGTAAATGTGTGTGTTGTGGAGGGAATTCGATGTATTTTATAAGGCTATTTGTCTACTTAAAGCACATCAGCTCCCTTAGTTAAATGCACCCAAAGCAAACAATGAGGCACTTCCATTGAATTCTAAAAAGTACAATGATGTTATGAAACTGTCACAAATAAACATTCTGCCTGTGGACACTATTACAACATTTTACTCTCTATAGATAACAAAAACCTCAAAGAGGAAACAGAAACAGACATTGACGTGTCATATAATGACTAATATTTTGTTTGTGTATAAAATTAATATGCTAAGAATTTTATTCAATAAGTTCATTTGTTGTTATGACTAAAAATAGATATTTGAAAGAATTTTTCAATAAAAATCACGGAAAAAAAATCATTTAAAACAATTATACTTCCTTGAAGCCATTGTAAGAACTGTGAGGGCAAAAACCAGATATATTTATTTTCTGTAATATTTATTTCCAGGTATATCCAACTCGTATTTATTACCTAAAGCTTTTGCATTTAAAATTTGATGAAATGTTCACATTGTTCTTTTCCTTATCTCACACAAGCAAAAGTGATGCATTTCATGTCTAGATATTATCGTTCCCGAGTTATAGAGAACTTATTTGCAACGGTAAACGAACGGCAGGTTTGATTTTTCTGCATTGCTAACAAAATGGTAACTTACCCTTACCTCTACTCTTATTTACCTCAACTAAGTGCATTTATCACTATACAGTATTTCAGTAAAACTCTTGAATATGCGGGCGTTTAGATGTGCTAATGTGTGTTTTTTTCCATCCGTCACTGGCATGTTGCCTACTTCCCTTGTACCAATTGAGACGTATGAGATGTCATTCGACGTGTCTCAGTCTAGTGATGGGGAACTGATAATTTGTTTTCGGATCCTGCTAGAAGATTTAAAGCCATTTCCAAGAACGTGTTTTGTCGTGTTTTGGCGCTGCGATCTTAGTGATGATGCCAGGAATTAAACCAGCGCAGCGCCTACTACATTGCTCAATGTAGGTGGCGTTGATTAAACACCAGAACCCAAAGACATTTTTTGCTTAATACGCCATAATTTTCTTTCGCGACGTTGGCAACAGATGTTGACATCTTTAGGTGAACAATTGAATTACCAAGTAAATCACGCAGTAGTTTTATTTAAATTTAGAGTCAAAATATTAACGTATGTAAAAAAATTAATTTGCAAATATCTACGAGCAGTATTGCCCCGGAACTTATTGAACTTAAAGAATTTGAAGTGAATATGGAGAAAAGGCAACTGTGAGTAATGACAGAGAATGAATTAATATTATGTTCGACTTCTCGCTTTTACGTTCTTACATAAATATGCAAATACCGATTTTCAAATGAATGTGACCCACAACTTATTCTAATGCAAATCAACTGACACTTTATTCACATAAAGTTACCAAACAGACCCTTTTAATGTTAGATTCGCATACGAAACGATTAATAGAACACTTGCAGAAGTAGAAGTGAACTCAAATTATACTGAATTTGTGAAGATTAAATCTACTGGAAAAATATGAAAGTTTTAAGGAAATCCGGGGAAGAATCAATAGTAGTTGTAAGTTGTTGTAGTTGATGATGCGATAGAATTTTGGGAACTAATTGGAAATGAACTGAATTTCTGCATTTAGCATTTGTGCTAATGCAAATGTGCAATGTGCATATTACCAAAAAAGAGTAAAAATGTAGCTGCATCTAAATTTAACTATTATCATCAAAACCTGTAAGTATTTGTTAAGGCGATTATAATTTTGAAATTTCAATAAGACTAGTTCATATCCCGTATGGAGGTAACACAAGGCCATTTGGTATTGTGAACTTTTGAACGGGAGTATAATATTATTAGCTACCACGATTCATTGGTATGTACAATGCCAGATCCTGAAAGAACATATTTAAACAAAGACGGGCAGGAAAGAAAGTTTCATCACATGAAACTTTTTAAAACAGTTCTCAGCGTCGGCGACGCCACATTTTGCAAGTGTTATAGCACTGTACTACATAACATTAAAATGCAATACACCTTACAAAATAATTATTTTACATGAAAGTCACTCACCTCATGTACTCCTTTAACTCTCGTTTCTTTGGATTCTTCTTTGATTGTTGCCGTTTCATTTGATTCGTCTTTGAGTTCAGTCGTTTCTTTTGATGCGTTTTTGAGTACAGGCGTTTCTTTTGTTTCTTCTTGGATTGTAACGCTTGCCTTTGAAGCTCGGCTCTTTTTTCATATAGGGAATCAGAAATATTGTTTGAATCATCAATAATTCGTATTATGTTATGTATCAATTAGAGAATATAAGTAAGAATTTGTAAATGTGTCAGACCTATCTAACTCAATCTGTTTATAGAACGACCGAGGAGGAAACGACGAAACATGAAATGTTACTCGAAGAAATAACTTCGCAAAAGGAGCAAATATGAGTTACAAAAATTGTAAACTACCCATTTGTGGATCATGGTAGTTAATGGGTTAATTTTAAATTACTGCTCTTTCTCAATAATACATTTTCGGAGGCTTCAATGTGTCGCTCCCTCTTTTAAAACAGGGAGGTGAGTGGTAAGACACAATCACATAAAAAAAATCTGATGTTACCACAAAGACTCTCACCTCTGGAATATTCTCTTCTTTTACTTCTGAATCTTTTGTTTCTTCTTTGCTGACACTCCTCTTTGGAGCATGAATCTTATTTTTCAACCAACTGGCAGAACAGCACACGGAATTGCGGCGAATAGTGTTCAACATGCGCAAGTCATTTTCAGCTTTTGCCCTAAATTCCACAAGGGTGAACAGTTCACTGTTTTTATTTCATCTTATGGGATAATTAAATGGTTAACGAATGATTGAACGATTAAAATTTTACAAATTAATTTTTTTTTCAAAAAGTATCTGAATTTAGATATGAGAGCGAATCATAAAGTAAGGTAACGAGATCTCTCTCGAGCGTATTATTTATCTCAGAGCCTCTTACACTGATAAACTAGGGAAGATATTAATACTCATGTTTCCACATCTAACACGCACTCTCATTGTCCCAATATGTTCCGCCAGAAGAACAAACTATCGATCAAAATAATTCGGGGACAAGTAAGAAGTTATGTCTGCACGATAAACTAAAATTCCACATCGGTTTTGAATCGGAACTTTCACATCGATTGCTAAGTGCTTTTTAAATGCCTGAGAGGGTTGGAAACCACAGTATTTCATAAGGAAGA